CACAACTTAGATGGAGATATGTAATAGATGGAGATACTTATAATATGTATAACACAACTTAGATGGAGATATGAAAAACTATATACGATTTCTCATCTGACTTCAAATTTTTAACAGGTGAAAAATTAAAGTCGATGGATATAAAAAATCTTAAAAAACAGCTTGTGATTTATTCCTTAAATATCTAGACAATATAAATTCTGTAGAATTGTCATCAGAAATAATCAGTTTCAAAAAAATCAGGAAATGATGTTAACTCCAACCTTAAAGTAGCTACAAGTTTAGATCTTTTAAAAACAATTTATGAATATAGTTCAGTTCAGTCCTATCCAAATTTGAAAGTTGCAGTGAGAATACTTTTAGCATTGCCTGTTACTGTACCTTCTGGTGAAAGAAGCTTCAGTAAACTAAAAATTATCAAAACATATTTAAGATTGTCACTTGCTCAGGAAAAATTGTTAAGTACAGCAATTTTATCAAACAAACAAGAATTTACAAAACAAATTAATTTTGATAAAATAATTGATGAATTTACTTCACTAAAAGTAAGAAAAGTAAAACTTTAAAAACAGATTCTTTGTTGGTCATTTATTTACATAAGTATTATTGAATTTATTGATATTATTTTGTTTCTATTATTAAATTAAATTACTATACTGAACAATTTGTAATATTCTAATTCATTTCATAAAATACTTATTTTGTTTTTTCTTTTGTATTTTGTCTTTCTTTTGTTGCTGTTATGTTATATATATATATATATATAAATGAATGTATGTCTGTGTGTCTGTCCTTCATGCATTACCACACCATTTATCCGAATGCCATGAAACTTTGGGAAGTTGTTTAATACACCGAAGTTGTAGAAGGAAATTCACCTATTTTACCGATCTAGGGATCCCCCTTTTCCAAATTTTAATATTGACTCAAAATAATTTAAAAAGACAAATTACAATAAAACAGTTTATTATCCAACTATCAGAAATTTCACAGCATGCCAAGGAAGAGAGGAAGAAGCAATTAAATAATCAAAATTATAAAGAATTAAAAAATATATATAAAATTGGGGAATATTGCACTTCTAACAATCTCTGCGAGTATGTGGGCTAAATTTAAATAATTTGTGCTTCTCACATGTACAACTGTATATGGGCAGCTCACGCATCGGAAAACCTTCTGATTTATTCATGTACACACCAGATGGAAAAACAAAAAATATCGTGTATCCACAAGCACTCCAATAAATAAATAGAATTGAAACGACACTTTGAAATGTTTTCCCGATGAAAATGAATAATAATAATAATACAATAATAATAAGTTTCAATAAAAATGATAAAATGTAAATTTAATTTTATCATAACGAGTTTGCTTGAATTTCCTTTCTTCTGAGATTGCAGCAATGCGCGATGGGTAAGCTAGTTTTCAATATATGTAATTTTATGTTTCTACTACTATTGTACTATTGCTAAATTCTGAGACTTCTTTTATTTAATACTTATTAGAAATAAAAAAACTATACACATAGGTACAAAAATTTATCCTCCTGCTTCAGGCGAAAATACCTCTAGGACCGGCTCTGTGTGGCACACACATCAAACTTACGGATAAGTACACACTAAAACCAGAAAATCCAACAAAAATAAAGTTTAATGCAAAAAATGAAAGTTAAATCCAATAGAATTCATCTACATTCATTTTTAAAATATCTTGTTCTATTTTCCACATTATATTTTATCAAGCTGAAGATGACAATTTTAAAATTGCTGAAAACAAATGTTTTCAACAATTCTGGATTTTATATGTATTTATTTGTGTATCATATCCACTTCTTAGAAGATATTATTAGTATAGCACTCATATTTCTAAGTCAATGAAAGGCATCATGCATCCTTTTATTAGATATAAATATCTGATAAAAGAATACATGGTGAATTATTCATAATAAAACTTTTCTAATAAACTAGAATTGTTTTTGAACCTGATCAGATTCTGATTTTGAATGTTTTTTGATACAATCCTTCCATAAGTTAATAAAACTGATAAGCACACTTGACTCCAAATTTCTATAAGTAATACACATTTTCAAATATATATTTGAAAATTGTTAATAAAATGCAAATTTTGCTTAAGAACTCATTGACATATCCACTTAAATTTGTTCTTATTCTAAATATGTTTTATTTCACCATGCGCCAGCTCCGGACACTCCCCTATTATTTGCGTTCACTAAAACGCATAAAGAATCACCCTCCCTGAGACCTGTTCTTGATAAGTCCAGATCCCCGACTCGTTTGTTAGATTCGGCGGTACACAAACAGATATATGACAGCTTGAGCAATTATCAGTGGACAATCAAAAACTCCACTGATTTAATCGATACCTTAAGACATCTTACCATAACGGATGATGCGTGCATCACAGTCCTTAACTTTGTATCCCTATATCCCTCAATCAAAATACAACCGTGCTTCTGTGCGATTAGGGATTTATTTCTTAGTGAACCCGGAGCTACTGTTCATCGTAAACACGTTTTAGAGCTGGCGCACATTCTATGTTACACCTCCTTTTTCCGCTTTAACAATAATACTTACTTACAAAAGCGTGGTGTACCTATGGGCAGCACACTCTCAGGGGATTTATGCGAGTTGGTGATAAGGCAGCTTGAAGGAAAGATCATACCGCGATTCGTCTCCGACATTCTCATATACAAAAGGTATGTAGATGACATCTTTATTCTATGGAAAGCGGAACCCAACATAAATAATTTCATAAGTGCAATGAATGTCAATCCGTACGGACTCACCATCAAATTGGATCAGAAGAGCAATGCGGAGGCGCATTTCCTCGATATCCACCTACAACTTGATGGCACTAGGGTGGTAACGAAAGTACATTACAAATCATGCTACAGGCCATTGTTCATCCCTGCCAACTCGGCGGACCCATACTCATATAAGATCTCGGCATTCTGTGCCCTAACTAGGCGGGCTTATACACACCATACTAGATCGGAAGACACAGAAGCGGAGTTGAAACGCATTCAGAACATAGCAGTACAGCACGGATATAGAAAGAACCTGATACACGACCTTGCCCGCACATACGTATCACGAATAGCCACACGCGACAATTCTAACATACAAGCAGCGGCCCACGAAACACACAACGTAAATAACACACAGTCTCGTGCGGTAGTTGAGTACAATCATCACTTCAACTCAGTTTACAGGGAGATTGCCGCCCATACTAACACTAGGATTGCATACAGGAGGCCTAGCACTATATATGGGCTACTCTGCGGTGGCAAAGACAAAATCAATAAGAAGCAAGCACCGGGGGATTACATGGTCCCTCTATGGGACAACAGGTTTCAAAGGGAATTAGTTTATATTGAGTCCACAAAACGCTCTTTGAATAAAAGACTGCAGGAACACAAATACGACATCGTTAATAAAAGGCACACCACCGCCCTATCAACGTATGCCACTGATCCCGGCATAAGAGCTGACCTGCATGAAGCCAAACTGATCAAACTTTCTCATCGAGTGGAACACCTACGAAATCTGGAGGCATTGGAAATTTACAAAGCCGGGTTACGCACCAATTGCATTAACGCTAATGATGCAGTCAATGTATCCCACGCGTGGAAATACTGCTATGAGGTAACGGGCGACGCCCACTCCAGCAATTAAAGACAACATCCCAGTTTGGTGTATTTATTTATATATATTTATATAATTGTGTGTATTACGTATGCAATTCCGTCGCCATGGCAATGCGCATGCATAACTGTATTCTTTAAAATCAGTTTGTGCAGTTCCATTTTTCGAAGTTGATTTTCAAAATTAATTTCATAATCATTGTTCTACGCTTGCACAGGTTCGAATCTAACGGATTTTAAGCCTGATGAAGACCGAGAGTACGGTCGAAAACATTTGTTTATTATTAAATTGATTACTACTGGACGTTTAAAGGTTTTGGAGTTTTAATTTAATGAAACATCTTAATTTTGTTTCGTTTTCTATTCTGATTGGTCGCGTCAGACTGTTGTTATGGCCTCCACAATCTCCAGTGTTCTGGCACTAAATTGTACTGTTGAACGTTGATTTGAGTGCATTAATCGTGCTGGTGGTCAGGTTGAGACTCTGTATAACGCAAACTTTGAGTAAATGCTTTCTCTCAAATAATGTTTACATAATTTTGACTCACCCAAGATTGTTCACATAATTTTGACTCACCCTGTATACTTAGAAACTGGATGATGACGACAAATTAATTCATTAAATTCATTTGCTGTATATAAAGATATGTTTTCTATTATTCCTGCTTAATAATTTGTTAAGGTCTCTTTTACATAATCTTCCTGAGAAAGATACCTCAATATGTGGTATATTAAATCTGTTCATTCTCTGAATATGTTTTAGCAAAGACCATCTTTACTATTCCATGCAATCTCTATTTTTTTGTTTTAATTATTTCAATCCAGTCTTCATTTTACATCCTATCGAGTAATCAAATAGTATGTAAATCTCATGCCCACCAGTGGCTGAGCGGACAAAAACCACCAAACATCAGTAATCAGTTGTGGATTCGCACCTAGCCAACGGAACGACCGTGCAGAGTTTTTCTTCACATTTGTAACATCTAAATAAGGGCCAGTTTCCATAAGTCTTTTATGGATGATACTCACATGTTGTGTTGCCATAAATCAATAAATCAAACCTGTAAATCTGAATTGAAGTCATTTTATTTTGAAAATCCAAAGCAAAGCTTATAACTATTTTTAATATTTTTTATGCTTGTGTGCGTTTAGTTTCTCATTTAATACAAGTAAAAGAAAACTTTCGAGCCCTATCATGAAGCATTCATTCACTAGATTCTCACATTCGATCAATTTTGAAAAAAAAAAAAATGTATCCCGTACGGTAGTATTCAAGTAACGTTTCATTTCAAATTACTACGCACCTCTTTGGGTACGATTCATTATCTAGAATTACCTCTAACGTTCTTTTACGCTGATACGAGAGTCGTCCTTTAGAAGTTTTCCTTAATTCATTGACTGTATTCGCCATGTTATATTCAAGAATTAATTGCTTAAGTAACTTGATATATATATATGGCTCTGTCCTACTTGGTAAACACTTTCTTCATAAATAATATATATTTTAAACATTATTATTTACAAAAAATACTAAGCATCAAACACCAAACGAAAATTATAATGACCGGGTTTAAATCACGTTGCCACACGAAAAATAAATACTATATAATATTCGATAATATTTAAAATATCTTATTATTTTATCTTATTTTTAAATTATCTTATTATTTTTATGAAGTGTAACTATTAAATAATTAAATTTTGTAAACTGTAAAAATTAATTGCATATTAATTATATAATTAATTTAATATTTAATTCATATGTAAAAATTATATTTTATTTCGGGTTTAGGTTATGTTGATAAGAGTATAACGATTTTCGTTATAAAATAATAGATAGTTCCTAAACTCCTAGAATTAATTATTCTATTTAGGTGTATTAGCGGCTTTGTTGCATTTAATTGAGAGAATATTTGAAGAAATGCAACGTAATCGCAAATAAACACTTAAATACAGTCACATATTGAGAATTAATTCGGTGACTCAGGGGAGCCAGCAGGTAGACTCAAGGGAGATCACGCATCCTCCAGGGTCGGGAAATGCGAATTTCAAACGTCCTTCCCAAGGCGAGTTGCAGCGCAAGATAGGGAGAACACCTAAGAAGAAACGCGGGGGGGAAAAAGACTGATGCTCTTCCTCCGGGCACATCGGAATCCGAGGGTCTCGTATCTGACATGGAAATCGGCGACAGGACGGGCAGAACGGAAATTACAGACGATTACTGCGTAGCATCACCAGCGGAGTTGGCAAAACTCCGTCGGCGCCCATCTCTTACCTCTATACCGAATGTCTGACAATCGGCAGGGGAGGCGGGATTTTACGATTGTTCACTGGAATGCGCACGGATTACGGGCTAAGAAAGACCTTCTTCTGATGGAGCAGTGGTTTCAAACTGTGGATGTGCTCATGATCCAGGAAACGTGGTTAACGGGAGGACAGTCTTTTACCTTACCGGGGTTCACTATTTTTCGTTCTGATCGGTCTACCGGACCGGGGGGCGGGCTGTTGACGGCGGTGGCTGACAAATGGCCGGTCGTGCTCCAATCGCCGGGCCTTGGTGCGCGAGGGTTGGAAACTCTGGAGGTGAGAGTTTTTATCAGGGAATTCTCCTTGTCATTGGTCAATGTATATGCCCCGACGGGGATTCAGGATGGCGAGCAACTTGCGGGCTGGCGGTTGGCTCCGTCCAAATCCCGTATTATCGCGGGCGATTGGAACGCTCACCATCCCTATTGGGACAACGGTTGTACTCGCCCGGACGCAGTGGGCAGGGTTCTGTTTGATTGGATATTGTCAAACGGGTGGTGTTGTTGGAATACGGGTGAACCCACCTTTTTCCACAGGTCGGGGTCCTCGGCGATCGATTTAACGCTGTGTACCCCTGATTTGTTGGGGTTGGCAACGTGGAGGCCAAGTATGGACACTGTGACCAGCGATCATGCTCCGATCCAGTTGAAGGTGTCTCTTTTGACAAGGGGAGTGGAGGGTTTGCAGCCAAGGTTCCGTCAAAATACGGACTGGGGTCGGGTTCGGGACTGCATAGCTGTAACATGGGAAAAGGAGGCTTCCCGTCCGAGGGAATATTCTGCCTTCTTAGGCACTCTTCAGGTGGTGTGTAATGAGTTCACCAGGTATCAAAGGATTCCCCCGGGGGGCTCCCCCGTGGTGGACGGAGGAATGCAGTCTGATTCGGGAGAAGAAGCGACGGGCCTTTAGAAGGGCTAGGCAGTGGGGGTCGTTAGGTTGGTGGTTCAGGTATAAACAGCTGGGAGCATTATTACGTTGGAAATCTAGGCAGGCTCGCCGAGAGTGGTGGGGCCGGATGTGTGAATCCCCTCCAACGAAATCGATGATTTACAGGATTTTCAAGAAGTTGCGGACGCCACAGAGCCCGACGACTTCCCAACATGTACTGATTGAGCAGGTCACGATAACGTTGCCAGAATTACAGGCAGAAGCATTGGCAAATTATTTTGGGAGACCAAGGCCAACAGGTACGTTTGGCCTTGGTCTCCCTTCCTCGACGAGCACACCCGGCCCCGTGGGGTCCGGGTGTGCTCGTCGAGGAAGGGGATTTCCAAGAGACGGAACTGTCAAGGGTCCTTAGGAGGCTACGGAATACTACCCCTGGCCCGGATGGGGTCACGGTCCATCTATTGCGGGCGCACCCCAGGGTGGGGCGGGAAGCCCTTCTGGAGCTAATGAACAAGATATGGCACACTGGCCAACTTCCGGCGGAGTGGCGGTCGGCATGCATCCTTCCGATCCTAAAACCGGGGAGACAGGCGACTTCGTGCGCGGCATACAGGCCGATCTCGCTCACATCAAATGTGGCAAAAATCTTTGAACGTATGCTATTACAGCGGTTACAGAGGGCCTTGTTGGCATCCAACATGTTTCACGAAAATCACTTTGGTTTTATCCCTTATCGAGGGGCGGAAGATGCGGTAATACTTATCCACCACACTATCGCGGTGGCACGCGCCCAAAAGAAGTGAGTGTATTTGGTATCTCTCGACCTGGAGGGTGCGTACGACACGGTCCATCAGGACGGCTTAATTGCCAAGTTAGTACACTACGGGTTGTCGGGGAAAACGCTTCGGTGGTTGTGTGACTTTATAGTGAATAGGGAGTTTCGGGTCAAGTGGAGGGGTGTGCTCTCGGGACCACGTAAGTTTAATTCCGGTGTACCGCAGAGGAGCGTGTTGGCTCCGCTTCTTTTTTCCCTGTACATGGCAGACCTCTGGCGGGTGATTCCAATGGACGTGGTGAGCGTTTTGTATGCCGACGATCTTTACATAATAGCATCGAGTACACAGGCGGACATGGCTAGGTTCCGGATCCAGAGGGCACTGGATCATATTGAGCACTGGTCGGCCCAGTGGAGCATGGTCTTCTCCGCGCCGAAGAGCGGTGTCAGTGATTTTTCATCAAAGCGGCACAGACCGACTGTTCCCCTAAGGCTCGGGTCGGGAACAATTCCACAGGTCACGTCGATGCGAATACTGGGGGTTTTTCTTAATGAGACGTTCACATGGAGGGAGCACGAAAGTTTCCTTTGTAACAAGTTAACAAGGGCGGGATCGTATCTCCTTTATTTTGCTTCTCGGCGGAATGGGGCGCGTCAGAGAGATCTTCTTCAGTTGATCAAAACGGTTCTCCTCCCGATGGCGGAATACGGGGCGCCTCTCCTGGACGGAGCGCCACCGACTGTCATCAACCGGATCGAAAACCAGATGGCCCTTCGGGCGGCTCTTGGGGTGCCACTCACTACTTCGCTGACAGCGATGTATACGGAAGCGGACTACATCGGATTAAAAGCAAGGATTTACTTAAGGACGATCAAACAGATAGTGACGCACATATCAAGGGGCCGATTTAGCTCGCTCTATAGTATTTATTCGAAACGGCATGGTCTGGATCACTACAGATGGCGGAGATACCAGGAACCATACGTGATCAGGGCGGTCTCTCATTTACGGAAACTAGGGATAGCGATTACGAACATATATCGACAACAGAATCTGCCGCCGACTGTCGAGCAGATGGGCTCGCGGATAAACATTGATGTGTTCAGGACTGGGAGTATTCGTTTACCTGGCGAAGACAGGGTGGCGTTCGACGAGTGGGTGCACAAATACCGAGATGGGTGGTCTTTAATCGGGACAGATGGGTCGAAGTCACCCAATCGGACGTCGATGGGCGTCTTCATATTGGAGGGGCGGAGGAGTGAGACGTGGGAACTGGATGCTCAGTGTGGGGTATTCGGGGCAGAGGCTGCTGGTGTTTTGTGGGGATGGCTCTGTGTTTCCAAAATCCTGGTCCGACCATTTTAAGTACGGACAGTCGTTCGGTGCTAGAGGCGTTGGCTAACGTGGGGTACACTTCGGAAGCGATCATCATCGATATCGCGGCGGCTGTCTCGTCTTTCCCTCAGCCTATTGAGTTGTTATGGACTCCGGGGCACGTCGGTATTGCCCTTAACGAAGACGCGGATAAGGCAGCGAAGGGAGCGAATTTAACAGGTTCCTGGAGGGGCCCGCTGTTGCCTAAGGACATTCATCGGTTGGTATGGCAGGACACACGTAATTCGTTACGGGACCACTGGGCTTCGGTCCATAGGAACAGGGGTAGGGAGTATCTCCGTCCTTTTGACCCGTGGCCTTATCACCACGCTTCATCGCGGCAAGCGGAAACTCTTCTGGCGAAACTACGGACTGGTACGGCCCCACTCAACTACTTTCTTTATTCGCGTGGTATCGTCCCGTCCCCTAACTGTTTGTTCTGTGGGGAGGCAGAAACTACTGATCATTTCTGGCTCAGGTGTCCCGAGTATACTACAAGTCGTACGGACCTACTGAAACACTTAAGACTGAATTTACAGACTGTGCGTACATTGACTCCTCTGTATTGGCCTCAGGCCGACATGTCCTCGAAGTATCATATACACCTTCTAGAACAGTATATTCATCGATCGGGTCGCTTCACCTAATAAGGTGGCGCTGCATTTCGGAGAAAAAGCGATTATAGGCTGCAATCTCCATATAAACGAGAGAGAGAGAGAGAGAGAGAGAGAATTAATTGTTGGACTATTATTTCAACAACAAATATTCAATGTACGATTGCTAACTAAGGATCCTACTGCAGTGTTCTTCGAAGCGCGGAGATAGAAACTCATGGATTGGATTGAAATGATGGAATAAAGCAACGCAACACTTGGGAGATCTGCCAAGAAAGGTGTCTCCCATATGATCCATATTTAGATTTTAGGCACTTGAAGAAAACTCGGAAAAATCTACATGGAACTGATTCCTGGGAATCATTACGTATCTAATATGTCTCCAGGTATTAGATACGTAATGAAAACCAGGAAAACTCCACTTAGCCAACTCTTTGATGAAGCGCAAACCCACGACCAACTACCAGTTTTCAATGGTAGAAACATATGATCACCATCATCGAGTAGCCATAAATGAATTGGTTTTGTTGTTAGACTAGACTGCGTGGACACAACTGCTAAGTTCGATCCAAAATCTTCTTATCGAAGAAGCTCAATCTTAGAAAATTGTCATTAAGTTAATATTAATATTTACATTCAATT